CTTTAAGTGAAGGAGAAACATTGACATGCAGAACCAAGATGCAAAGGCTGGCATGGTGACACTGGTGCCCAGAAATGTTAGACAGCGGATGCCGCCGTGTATGAGCCCAGCATGGGTACTTTGCAGAAGTCGGGGCAAAAGCATAGCCTTGTCGAATCATATAGCTTTCATCTTTGTCTTCATTTTTTAATAGTAGGAAGTAGATTAGAAATATTTTCCTGCTTCTGTGCTCTGAGAGTCAATGGATATTCAGAATTGCTTTGTATTTATTTAAGGTTTTCCTAATCTCATTTTTAAAGGGAAACCTTGAATGATAGTTCTTGCTTATAATTTGAAGTATTACACTTAATGCATAGCTTTTGTGGCCTATGTCTTTGTATGCCTAGATTATTCTTATCCTTGGATAGGTGATGGAGTTTTCATCTACAAATATACATCTCATTCTCCATGTACATGCACATGTGGAAAATTTGAAAAGTTTTCTTTTTATCCTTCTGCAAAGAATTTTTGGATAGTTCTGGGGAGTTTATGCCTGCAGGATCCTCTGCAGATGATGTAAAGAAGCTGCCGAGAAGAGCCTTGTCGGGGAGCCTGCTGCTAGATGCGTGGATCTTGTCCTGTCCTCCTGTAAAAGCTGTTGACACAAAACAGTAGTCTTACATGTTGAAAAAGCTTGAAAGGAATGTTTCAGTGAAATCTTTTGCAAACAATATTTTCCTTTAGTTTTTCAAAGCAATGGTCAACATACCTGGAATTTTATTTTACTATTTTTCCTTATAAAGTCAGTTAATTTTTTTTAAATGTGTGTGCATTTATGTGCATTGACTCCCCATTTGGTCCTAAGGATGTCGGGGAAATATTAAGTGAGATAAAATAGGATGCACTAGCAGCCCAGGAATACTGAAGGTCTCATCCTTTGTCACCCTAAGGATCTATAAAGTCCCCCTTGCTCATAAGTGCTGTCACTCTTATTTAATGGTCCACCCTGCTCAGTTGGCAGGGGAATGCTGTGTGCAAGACAGGCATGTGCTTATGGCTTTTTGTGTTGGTCAGCACATCTAGCTCTGGAGCTTGGAGGGGGCTCAGTGTGACCTTGTGATTGTTGACTGCAGGCCGTACCCTGCATTCTTCCTCCCTATCCTTTAAGATCCAACCTTGCTCCTAACCTCCCAGCCTCAGTCTTTTTTTGGTGAGGGGGATGAATCTCAGGACCTTGCACTTGCCAGGCAGGCACTTATGCTGCTGAGCTATCTCCTCGGCCCCCTGTCTTACTCTTTCTGGTCAAACACAAAATGAAGCACCGAGCTGATAGCACCATCATCTCTGGGTTTCTATTACAACCCCACTGAGAGACGCACTGTTAGAATCCATATCACCATCTCCCCATTACTCCTTTCAGCACAAATTCTCACATAACCCATGCTACTGAGCAGTAGTCCACTTCTGTACCCCAGGAATGGCAGTGCCTGTGCTATGTGGACAATCTACTGCTGGATCAGAAATGTCTAAGGATTAAAAAGTGGATCTCTTCCACCTACTTGGAGTGAGTAGAAGAAGCTTCATAGAATATCCTTCTCATTTCACTCTCTTTCTTCCCTTCCCATCCTGCTTTAAGTATGAGAACATCATGACCCGGAAATAAAAGAATATTTTCAAGGTTATTTCATTTTTATGAAAATCATCATGTTTATGAGCTGAATACAATAGTCCCTTTCTATTAATAACTAACAAGCTTGTTCTATGTGGAAACCACTTTTTCTGTGGTAGAACAATGGGGATGCATCCAATTGGGTGGGGACCTAGCAGGAAGATAGAGCAGATGAATGGATCAACATAGAAATAGTAAAAGGTTCTGATCCTTGGGGAGGAAGGAGGAAAATAACAAACCCTGTTGTACTATATTTTATCAGCTATGTCTGCTGAGGAATTAGGGTCAGGACCCAGAAACTTTGCTATATCTCCTGGTGTTTGTTTCAGTTCAGGGGGATGGGTTTCCCCTTTGATGGGTCATTTCCTTCTCTCTTTTCACATTCCAGGCTGCATTAAGATGTCAAATTTCACTTATAGGTGGGGGCACAGACACAAAAGCCTGAGCCTTTCAGCTGAAGGAGTGCAGAGTGGATTTATTGTGCAGAGAAAGGGAGTGTTTGACATACAAAATAATTTTGCTAGGCAGGCTTTGCAAGAGCACACAGCCTGTGGCCTGCCTGCCCCAGCCCAGGGGCCTGCTCCTGCCTCTTGAGGGTGGAAGAGAAATGTTAAAGTAATTAACAAGTGTCTTTCAGGTACATACATCCCGGGGTATGTGGCAGACAGGTGAAACTTTATTTTAGAGATAAGCTCTTGATGGTGTTTACAGAAATATTTAGGGTGAGCTAAGTAGAATGAAGTTCTTGCACTCTTCTCTATCCAAGAACTCTGCACTGAGTACCTTTCTCCCCTTCTCCTGCCTTTAGAGAGGAGGTGGGGGTAAAGTTGGACAGCAAGCAGTAAGTCCATCAGATCAAACATGAGTGCATTAAATGCTGAAATGTTCAAAGTCTGACTGAGATAGATAAAGGCTTTGATGGAAAGTGGATATTTCCCAGGGACTTTACAAGCAATAATCCAGATGTTACGGTGTAAGGCAACAAGCGTCCACGGGTAGACCAGGAGTTCCAGCCAAGCTGCGCCTGATACCGGCCTCAGCTTTGCCCTCCCATGCTGTTCTGCCATATGGAACCTATCTCTGGGCCCCCTTAATAACCAGCTTTGGATTCCACTTTCACAGAGCTCATAGAGCTAAGTGGAGCTGTTTTATGGACAAGTTAGATAGAAGCCTTTCCAAGATAAACATCCAATTTGAAATTAGGACATACCAAGCTGCAAATTATTTTAGGGCATATTTCATGGAAGTGCTGCCATTTTTCTTAGGCAATTGCCAGACTGTAGGATGCCCTTTGATCCTCTGTGGACATTACTCCCTTCTTTATAAAAAGGATTTTGAAATAGTTGCAGTGTTTAGGGAGGAATATATCTGTCGGAACTTTGAAGCATGTCCGTGGGACGGGTCATGCTTTAGCTTGTGGGTTGGCAAGTCAAACTTTTAAGAAGAAAAGAAAGCAAAAAAGGGGTTTGTAGCAGGATATATAAATCAGCATCTTGTTTTCGTTTTAAAGGTAGAGATATTGAGCTCATGTACTTAATGAGCTATAAAATAAATTAAGTATATTCTACATCGATACATATCTAAGGATATATACAAACATGTACATGTATGTATATATTATGGTGATGTCTTAAAGAAATACAAAGCACTTAATTTTATGATTTTGTAAACACTTATTGAATATACTCTGTCTGTAATCTAACACCCATTGTTTAAAAAGAATTAAAGAATTACTCATGTCTGCTTCAAGATGGATTTCAAAGTTATTTCATTCCCCATTTACCTACCCAGCTTTGTGTTAGCACCTGTAAAATGTGTGTGTGTGTGTGTGTGCATGCACACGTGTGTGTGTGTGTGTGTGTGTGTGTGTGTGCAGGCAAGCAGGAGGAGGATCAGGAGAAATGTTGAAAGGATAACCAGTTTGGGTGTATAAGTGCTTAGAAGTATTTTGTTTAAAGTTGTCATGAAATGCTCAACAAAACACCTGGAAAGGCCTTGTTCCATTGTACATAGAAGGATTGGATGACGTGGGCTAGTGAGGCAACCTGCACAATTAGCACGGTCCTTTGTTGTGATGAATTGTGACTGACTGATAGCCAAGCAAACTGCTGTATAAATGATCTTGAAGATGCAGTGAGCCAATGACAGGAATGAATGGAGTGTTAGACACCCATCACTTTGCTGTGGTGCTCAGCACCGTTCACCTTCTTTAGCCCATTTGTTTCTCCTTCAAATAAAAAAGTCTGTACTTGTGCCAGTTCCCTTACTGAACAGAGAACAAAACTGAGCACTTCCAACTGAATGCAGGATGTAGAATAGGTGGAGATTTTAACTCGAGGGAAAACTGCCCCTGAGACCACCCGGGATTGGGACTGTGTTTGATGAAATTAAGACAAAGTATGGTTAATTTTCTTCAGAAAACTCATGCATGATGCTTATGTAAAAACAAAATATGGCTTTACAGTCAAACATTCTGGCCAGAAAAAAAATGAAGGTAGAGAAGAAATTAAAATATTAGCAAATATGGGCAAGATACTGAATCTGTTGAATGAGTACTTGGTGAGTTACTATACTATTTGTACTCCTTATCGTTTTGGATATTTAAACATTTATATGATGGCAATTGAAAACACTTTGCCTATCACATTTATCAGTTTATCATAGGGGATATTTGTCTTTTTTTCTGTATTCTTGTTGAGGTGTGGGTGAGTCCTTAGCATTGATATAATTTTAAAAAGAAAAATGATATGTTGACAGGCATAGAGCCAGCCAGGTTCCTGTGCTGCAAGTTGCCTTCTGCACGTCCTCCTCCATCCGACATCACCGCAGCTGACTTAGTCACCATGCAAAGCTCCTTTGACCAGCCAGGCCACTAGAAGCTACCCACAGAATTAGAATCTTATAGTGGTATAAGGTTTTCTTAGTCCAAAGAATAAGGGAAGTAGGGACAGATTCAAATTTGATGAATAAATTCAAAGTCATTATTTCTAAATGTCCAGAGGTATTTTTGTCTCATTGTTTTAGCTCTGTTTCCCAGAATGCCTTTCTTCCATTCCTACCATTAAAAACAACCAGAGGCCCAGTTTAAGGATTCCTAGCAAAGAGTGCTTCTGGTTAGGGCAGGAACTCCCTGGCAAAGCCAAGGATTGGTGAAACTTACCCTGTGCTATATTATGGTGAATCCAAAACTTCAGAAGTAAACCACATAACTGCAACTGTGGACTAGCAAAAGCCGTGAAGAATAACACGTCTTGTGAGGCAGGGAGGGATTTTACAGACAAACACTGAAAGCTGGGAATCACTTTTAAGAAGTGCAGATGAGTTCATATGTCATCTTTATTTTTTCCTCTAGTCCTCTTTGATACGCAACCTACGGCTCTCAGAGTCCTTGAAAAAGAACCAGCTCTGGAATGGGATTGTAAGCATAACTTTACTGGAAGGGAAAAATGTCTCAGGAGGAAACATGACTGAGATGTTTGTTCAGTTAAAACTGGGAGATCAAAGGTACAAAAGTAAGGTAAGTTTTGCCAATCCTACAAAGAGGATAATATATTTAAAAATGAAAAATGAGTCAAAACTGCTTTCGTTGCTAAATTTTAGAAGTGATTTAATTTTAACCCTCCTAAGGAGAAAGCCTTCCAGAAAACAAAATCATGATATAGTGGCAGTCAGTTAATATTGGGGTTGCTTTGATTACTTAGAATAATGTATTTTAATAGGGTATGTCAGAGCTAGAGGAAGTTCCTTAAATCGTAGACTAGGACACATGGTTTATTTTTGTTCTGAAGGCAAGCAAAGTATATTTCGTAGAACATGGGAAAAGCAAAAGTTCAAAATCTTACAAAAAATAAAATAGCATACTGCTTGACATGCTGTGTGTGAGGCACATGAGATAGCAGAAAACATTTTCAAAATTATATTCTCTTTGAATCGTCTTTACGCAAAGAATAATTTTCCAATGTTGCTAATTTTGCATGATTGTAAAACAATTTATCCAATGTATTAAAACAGAAAGTAACATTTTAGTAGTTTTTTAAAAAAAATCTTAATTCTGTCAAACTAAATTTCATTTAATCTTTAATCTTAGTAATTTGGTGTGGATTCTATTTCAAAACCATAGTCTCTGAATCATGCAAATTAATTTGTTTTACATAACTCTCAGACAGGAATATTTCCTACATTTTATGAATTGGAAGAGCCAGGGTTCTCTAAAGTTATGTCATGTGCTAAAAGTCACATAGAAAAAAAATCAGTGGAATATTTTGAAAATAGGCTGGATAATATTTTCAATCCATGCCTCTTGGTATTGTGTGCACTGCAGGTACACAAAGTTTGGAAAATACTTAGGGTAGCAAAGGGTGTCTGGTGTGTACAATTTTTTAGTGAAAAAAAAATCAAATATTATAAATAGTATTATTTACTCTGGCAAGAAGCAACCTTTAGAGAAATAGAGAAATGAGGGCTGAAGACTAATTTACAGGAAATATGAAAACTTCAGTGTGATTTATATGAAAAAATGCAAATAATCATTTTGAGCAGTTCGATTTAGGCTGTTCCTCAAAAGGAGCACACCTGAGGTGACATCATGTCTGTAGCCAGCCACGGTCAAGAGCAGGATTTATAGAAAAATGATGTAATGTGAGGGACATTTTGCCCTTTTGAGTAAGGTGAAGTGTAGAGTTAGTTCCGTATCTACTACAATCCACCTTGGGGAGTATGTGATTTGTAGTTCTAAGAGGTCTTTTCTTCTAACTGGCTTCTAAATTCTGGGATCTGATACGTTAAGCAGGATATAAAAAAACTCTTAAGTGATTTTAAGTGATTTAGCCTGGAGTGGAGATGTGGGCATCCCAGATTTTTTTCTCATGCAGGAAGAGATGCTGGTGCAGTGTTAATGGAAAGCCTGCATCTCTGATGCCTGTCCTTGGTATCCGATAGCACACACTTCATTAACACATGATGCTTTGTAAATGAAAGTGGAAATCCCTCCAGTGAACTAAACATGGACATGGTGTTAAGTTACTCTTAGAGGACATAGTGACACTTTTGAGGGCTTCAACCCACTCTTACTAATTTTCATGTGTTGCTCAAGTGGATTTCCTAGTCTTACCTCCACTTTACTGTCTGGATTTAGTAATTTTGGATGTAGAAAATGGGAATGGAAAACATATGTTTTACCCATGTAATAATCTGACAAATGTGAAGACTCCACTCTGTTACTTTATATAATTTTAAGCAAGCAATGCGTGTATATGGCAACAAAGATGGTACTTGAGTTTGACCAGTTAGTGTTATCTTCTGTGAGAAAGAACAATCACAAGCTGCCTATTGATACATATCAACTGTACATGCATACACTTCTAGGGCTTATTACAGTATTTTTTTAACTTGGTGCCTAAGTCTTTGAATCTGGAGGCCATCAAAATAAGTGGTACTCTTTAACCAATTTCTGAAACCTTAAGGTTCCTTCTGTTCCAAAAGTTTAACTTAATAAGAAGCAAATCCCATCATTATGACCTCCTGCCATTTAGATGTGAAATTAATGTGTAGTTGCTGTAACAATGAATGACATTTTAAGAAAATAAATACTATAACTGCATGTTTTCTAGACACTGTGTAAGAGTGCAAATCCGCAGTGGCAGGAACAGTTTGACTTTCACTACTTCTCTGACAGGATGGGCATTTTGGACATTGAAGTATGGGGAAAGGATGGCAAAAAACACGAGGAGCGTCTGGGCACGTGAGTCTACTTGGTTTCTGCTTGGGGGGAGTTTGTGACTGCACGGGCCTGAGTCTCAGGGAAGGTCCTACCTGTGTGTGTTGAGGGCACCTGTGTCTCATTCATGGAATCTTCAGTAAGCCAGACAGCTATCCTAACTGGAGAAAGTTTCTTTTGTTTGATTCATAAATGTCATTCAATATTTGTACATAGAATTAAAGGAAGGAAGGATGGAAGAAAGAAAGGTGGGAGGGAGGGAGAGAGAGAGAGAAAGGCAAGAAAAGAAAGAAAGAGAGAAAGAAAGAAAAAAAATAGAAACCAAGCCACCCCTCAGCATCCAAGGGAATCACTTCTGGGTTATTATAGAAACAAAAAATCCTAGGATGCTCAAAGTCCTTTATAAAAAAGAACAGGATTTGCATACAACCTGCATACATGTCCTTGAAAACTTTAAGTTAATTGAAACATTTTTAATATATGATATCTAAATCATATATAGTTATTCTGTGTTGCTGAGGGAGCCATGATCCTCAAAGTATCTATAAAGATGGTTTGAACCAAAGTTGATTGAGTCCATGAATGTGGAAACTTTGTATCCACAGACTAACTAGTTTGTGTCAAGAGTTTTCTAAAGAAAGATAAAAGAGTTGTCTTAGGCTGTTTTGGTTTTATTTATATGAATTGCCAATACTGTACTAAGCAGGATAGTCACTCCTAACTGGAGGAGCTGTCTTTCTTTTTTAAAGCTGGCTTTGCTCTATAGTGAAATATCATAATTTAATAAAAATATAAGACTAGATGTCTCCCATATCGAAAACTTTTCAATTCTTTTGTAATTTATAGCAAACTATAATGGAATCTGTTGAAGCCAAACCTATCAGGTTTCTTTTATTTACTTGGGCCCCTCACAGCTAAACTGAGGTATTTATCCACATGTAATGAACAACATTGGTATCCAGCTGTTTAAAGTGTTCCGATGAAGAGCACCGTGGAATGAGCTGGCACAGTGCTGACTGGCCCACAGCACCGGGAGGCCTGCAGACGTGCAAACCATCCCTGCCTTGCAGCGCATTGTGCTAAATACGTCACTGGGCTAATTCTGTAGAAGAGGAAGTGGGGTGCAAGAAGTTTACAGAGGACTTGGCCTTGCATTTAAGAACCTTGAGTTCCAAGAGTCAGGATTCTGCCTTCCATCAAATTGAAGTCTACGAAAAAACAAGTCCATATTCATCCACGTTGCATAGAAGTCTTAAGGAAAGCAAACATTTAAACCTGGTGGCCCTCAGTTGGTTTTCAAACCTGGGAGTTGAGTTCAAGGGGATGCCTTGTGGTCCCCCTTGGCAATGGGAGGCTTCCTCTACCCTTGGCCTCGAGGCCAGAGTGTCTCAGCTTTTTATCTTGTTCTTCCTTGGGGAATCCTTGACTAGGGATTTTTATTACTGAAAAGCAAAGATTGAAATCCATGAAGAAATATTGGGAACTGGGGAGGTGGAATGCTTTTCCATCAGTGAAGACTTTAGAGACAAAATGGCATGAGGCTAGCTATCAATATCTCAGATAGTGCTCTTACTCTGCAAACTCCCAACACATGGCCCATTGATATCTGCTGCTTTTAGCTGTCCTTGCCCCCTCCTTGAGGCAGTAGTTGATTCTGAGCTCAGTGGTTGGGGAGTTGAATACTTACAAGAAGTTCTTCCAGGATTTCATAGTATTCTGTGTTGTAAGATCTTTTCAGCAAACCTGATTCTTGCCCACTTGAGGACAGTAATTCATCCCAGTGACTGTGTGGAGAGCACACAAGTCCCCACATACAAACAGAGCATGCCTGCATTCCATAACACGTGTCTGGATCTTCCCGGGGGACCAGCGGGGCCAGTGACCCTGGCAGCTGAGACCTCTTCCCTTTGTGCTCGCTATGTCATACCATCACTGCACACGATCTGTGCCCATCTGGCAGGCAGCACTCCCTGCTTTGATGACAGTCTCTCTACAAAGGCAAGTTTGCCTATTCTGCTAGCACGATGGGCCATGCCACAGTCTCCACGTCAAGCGAGAGGACTTCGTAGTCGTTGTCCATCAGCGGTGCCTCTGCCGTCTCTTCCCACGTCCACACAGGGTGGCAAGATGCGTCTGATACTTCTCAGTAACTCTGCTATTGTCACAGCTGCAGCATACAGAAGCCCTGACCATGCCCATAGTAGGAGGTTCGGAAACTTTGTGTTCCCACGGAGCAAGGAGGAGTTACGCAAATGCGGAGAACTCTGTGTCCCAAGTGTCATTTGAGCGGTGGGAGTTAGGGCCTCAGTGATGAATGGCCTGTGTGTTATTTTAGTAGGTGCAAAGGACACTGCCCTGCATTTCACTTGTCATTGTGTTGTCATGTTCCCAACACATCATAGGAAATGCTTTTCCAAATGAGTATTGGGTTGCTTCACTGAGACAAAAAAATAATTTAAGATGTCTCTTCTGTTCTATGTTTTGTCATTTGGGTACTCATTTATTATTTTAGCTTTTTCCTGTTTATATCTGAGAAATATACCTGTCTTTCAGCCATTCTGTCCTTCCTCTTTATGGCTTTTAAATGATTTTTTTTTTTTTTTTTGTATCCTTTTCCTCTTTCCTCTCCTGTAGTACAACAGATAACAAAAGTCTCTCTTGGGAGCCAGTTTCACAACATTGCAGGGCAGGTGTGCAATCCTACACTAAAGCATAACAGGCTCTTCAGACTTCAAGAAGATACTCTGCTAAGCCTCTGTGTATGACTGACAGATTATTCCCTGCTATTTCTTATTGGTTGCTTTTGAAATATTTCAGTTTTTTCCCACATTGCCACTTTTTGATGGCATTTGTTCTAGGCGTATCTGTTTTAAGTTTCCAAGTTTTGGGATTTTTTTTTTTTTTTTTTTTTTTACATCCAAGGTGGTCCAGGAGTGTGAATGTTTGGGGGCCACTTCCCAAAGCCCACACCTCAGGCTTTGCTTTTGATAAGACATTCATGTTAATAAGGTCAAACTCTACATGCAGCCTCTCTGGGGACTCCTCCGCAGGGAGGATTTCCATAGTGTGCAGGTTGACTGGGCACTCCTGATGTGCACAGGAAGCATGGATGCCGCCTGGCTTACAGGGTCACTGGCCACCGTGCGGGTCATCTTGACTAACAATTTCCATGTCTGTGGACAGTGTCTACTGTGGTTATAATGTTTCATTTTGTGACTTTTTAAAAGAGAAACCATTGATCTCTATGATGTTTACAACTAAAATTGTGCAATTGAAATACAAGAAATATAGCGAGCAGTACTCTTTTGAAAATAGGCTAGACTTTGCTTTTGTATATTTTTAGCAGAAATGAGCAGGGTCCTGAGTTCAATCCCCGGTACCGCAAAGAAAAGAAATGAGCAGTAAAGCTAAGGTAGCAGGGACAGCCCATGACTGAAGATCTGAACAGCGTCATTTGGCTTGAGCGATGCTGGGCTTTGTTTTCAGGGATGGAAAGGCTGCCTTAGAGACTAGCTATCCTCACACAGGTGTTGTAGGTGGTTTGCTCAAGGGTTTTCAGACATGGCCCTGCTTAGCAGCCAGTGCCCTCAAGCACTCGAGGTACACGAGTCCCTGACTCCCCTATGGTTTCCTCTCCTGTAGGCTCTGGCTAAGCCACAAGGAACTCCTAAGGATGCTGAAGCTGGGGACATAAAGGCACTTTAGCGACGTCCAGCAGTCCTCTGAAAGCGTGCAGCCCAATTCCCATCCATACTCAAGGGCAAACCACATTATAAAAGACAGCAGCAGGGCTCTGGGATGCTGAGGCATGGAGGTTCTAAATTTGTGGCAATATCGTCTAGACCTGCAAATT